TCTTAGAATAAACGGTTCAAATTTAATACTGAGGTAAGGAGAAATTTACCCTGAGGATTGAGTATCTTTGGAACTCCTTGCCACAGAGCTGGACGCTGAGTCCTTGGGTATATTTAAGGCTAGACTTGAGTTTCTTGGTCAAGAGGGGATCGGATGAACAAAAGGCAGAAGAGTGGATGTGAGGAATTTTGGATCAGTCATTTTTTGTGGACTTGATCCTGTGCTCACCTTTTACTGGCTCCAGTTGTTTTAAATTCATCCAGGGACTGGAGTCACGTGTGTGTCAGACCAGGTAAGGATGGTAGATTTACTTCCCTAAAGGTCATTGGTGAACCAGGTGGGTTTTTATGACGTTCAACAATGGTTGAATGTTCACCATTAGGCTAGCTTTTAATTCTAGATTTTATTGAATTCACATTTCACCATCTGCAATCTTGGGATACAAACCCGTGTCTTCAAAACATTGGCCTGGGTTTCTGGATTGCTAGTCCAGTGACTAGCACCTCACTGTGGTACCACCTCAGTATCACAACTCAGTGGGACAGTACGCAGGAACCCTCCATCCGCAGAGTTGTCGTAAGTTAATGATTCTAAAATAAGTATGCAGATTCCCCAATCTGTCTGATTTTCAGACCCTGGTTGCTAGGTAGAACAGACCAGGTTTCTGTACTTTACAAGATTTGCTGTTTCTAAGTAACGTACAGTTATAAACTGTCAACATATATCTTGCAAAATTTAAAACGCTAATTCCCTTATAAATCCCCCCTTTATGCATATAGTTGTTGGTCAAGGAAGAAAGACATGAATGGAGGAAAACTGAAAAAGCAGCAGTCTTTATTCACAAGATCTGTTAAGGTTGTTCTTGCTAATCAGGAGGTTTCTACTTGCCCTTCTATTTTCTTTTCCCAATACTTTTATTGGTCTGCAAGAGGCACAGAGTGGCTTCTTCACTTGTAAAAGGTCTCTGGCTTATCGGTTAGAAATGACAAGTTATAGCAACTGCTGAAAAATACATGAACTGATTTTATTCAATTTTAAAGTGGGCTTTGACTGCAGAGAACAGAAAGTTGATGAAGATCAGATCACTTACCTGTATCTTATTCCCAGCCCCAAACTATTCAGTTACCTGAGAACTGATCACACGGTCATTAGTAGACAAAAGTCTTTCTCATTGGTCAGTGGACTCGTGACCAGTTATCAATCGACATCTTTCTACCAACTAAATTTGTATCTATACACAACCACTCGGCTCCAGTTTGTTTCCAACCTCTTAAACGTCGGTTACTGCTTGTTCAGGCATCTGTGTTCACAAACCTGCCATGGGTACACACTTTCAAAATACGCCATTATCCTTGTTTTTTTAAAAACAGTTCTTTCTTACTTCAGTCCAGAATTTTGAAAAACACAATATTTAAAAGGTGGTTTTTGCATCCATTAATTATGCTGTTCCAAAATAACTTTGTCTACCTCACAGTTTCTGTTAAGATTATTGTGATGCTGGCCCATCTTAATCCACAATACATTTTGCTGGTTGTAAAGTCACAGAGGTCAATTTCCTCTACTCTAAGGAAATCAGCCGTAGTCTGTCTAATCTTTCTTCATAACTGAACTCTACAACCCAGGCAGCATCCTAGTAAATCTTCTCTGCACCCTCTCCAGTGGTGTCACATTTCTCCTATAATGTGGAACTGTATTTCCTTTCTTCATGTTGTTTAAATTTGGTTCAGGGTGTTGAAGTTCCACAATGTATATGTGTACATGGTGTTGTGACCTTATTGTTAGGGGTGTTGAGAGCAGCTAAGTTTTGCATAGTAATTTGTAGCCCTTGTGATTACAGGCTAAGACCACAAAGAAGATTGTGCTGAGACTGGAATGTGTGGAGCCTAACTGTCGATCAAAGAGAATGCTGGCTATCAAGAGATGCAAGCACTTTGAGCTGGGAGGAGACAAGAAGAGGAAGGTAAGTGTGCCTGAGTCCTTCTATGGATTGGGTAGAGGGCATCAGGCACTTGGTAACATTCTGCTGAAGGTGCAGTGATTTGGCTAAACTCCTTCATGTTTAATAATGTAGCTTCCCAAAGGTTATGTGTACCTTTATAATTCTGGTTCAAGACTTTGATGTAGTGTTGTAAGCTGTGTTTCACCACTGAGGGTGGGGACTATCAAGATCAGATCTGAAACACCTACGCAGCAAGAGGGTGCCGATTGTTGTGGGGGTTTTTGGGAGTGTGAGACAGCTTTGCTTACAGTTTGAGTAGATAGAGTTATACTCTGTACTTGCTACATTAGAGACATTTAAGCGACTCTTTGATAAGCACATGGATGATAGTAAAATGAAGGCTTTGTAGGTTAGTTTTGATCTTAGAGTAGGAGAATAGGTCAGCACAATATCATGGGCCGAAGGGCCTGTACTGTACTGTTCTGTTTTGCTGTGTGCTGAAGCTGTCCTGGAAGTGTTCGCTTAATGCTTATAACAGGTGCTTTAATTATACAAGTAGGAAGTCAAATGTGATGCTCCAGTTTTGTAGCAGCCCCCCAAAAAGGCAGTAATCCTCAGATAAAGACGTGACATTAGGAAAATGCTGACTAGTGTGAATACTGACAGGATTGCTGTTTACTAGATAGTAAGATGTTTGCTAACCTTTGTTCTCTACTTTTTTTCCAGGGCCAAGTCATCCAGTTCTAAGCTGCAGTCTTTGTGTTCTTTGGAGTACAAATTCACAATAAAAGTAACTAAAAGTTATTGTTGGTGACTGTCATCTTCCCTTCTTACTCTAGTTCAGAGTTAGGGGCATCTGCGAGGGTGCTGATATTCTCAGAGGATCCTTGTGTCATTATCCCTAGGGAGGCTGGCAGTATTTACCCAGGTGACTGTGTGCAGAAACAAATGTCTCTTTAGACTTGCAGTTTTAAGATAAACCAGTTCATTTAACATCTATTGGATATTAAAAGGCATGACTGAACACCTTGGAAATGTCCAACTTGTCAGAGAGGCAGTATGGATTTGTAAAAGCACAGGTCACGTCTGCTGAAGCAGGGATAATGGGCAGGTACTGCAATTGGCAGAATGTGATTAATCGTGTTCTTCAAGGATCTGAGTTAGGGCCTGTAGTGTAGATGGAAGCGTAATAATTGAAGTAGAGTAACAGGCAAAACTAACAAGTTGGCAAATTGAGGTTACTCACTTTGGATCCTTGAAAAGCGTTGAGGATTATGGACTTTTTAAATGGTGAAAGGAGAGAAACAGGAGCACCAGAGACTTGAGGGCTAGATACATAGACCATGAAAATGCCATGAATAGGAACAGCCACTAATCAGAAGTGAGTGGAATGTTGGCTTTTGCAGAATGAGAATGTGAGGGAGTAGAAACTTATTTTTAGCTAGAACCTTAATTAGACCAGAAATGGGATACAAAGAGGGGGAGCTGTGACCATGGGGGAAGTGCAGTATGGAATGATAGTCTGCATCCAAAGGTCAAATTACAAGTAAAGACTGCACAAACTAAGATTGTGTTCTTGGGAATTTAGAATGTTGAGGAATGATACATTTTCAAAATATGGTATAGTATTAATGGAAGCAGATAGAATTGATAGAAACTTTGAGCTGGTTGGGAGTCTGAGACCAGGGTTCATATATACACAGCATGAGAGGTTTGATGCTGTCGATAACCAGTTGTTAATTCTAAATCAGGTTGATCTTTTGTTATTCAAAACTTTTTAAGGTATATGGAGTGAAGGTGGACATATGAAGTTTGGTAGCAAACCAGCTAGCGTCTCATTGAACAGGCTTGAGCTGAGCCCTGTTCTCTGTGGAGGATAATCACTAGGCTGCAGTGTGGATAAAACGGGGAAGTAGTTTGTGAAGAAGAGCATTATCATCTCCTTGCTTAGTGTATGACTGTATTAATACAGTTGGAGGAATCTGGTTGCAGACTTGTTTGGGGCAGAGATGCAGCTGAAGTGGCATTTGTGACCAGCTGCCCCATACTGGTGCTGTCTGTCAACTTGCCAGAGCAGTGTCAGAAGGGATCCAGTCAACTGCAATGAAGCAGATGCATCATATTATCCCTGGAAGAGAAAGATGTTATGGCAAACTGACCTGTCTTGTGCAATGTTCCAGTTGATTTGTAGAAATAGTCAGATCACAAGTCCAGTAAACAGCATATGGAGTCAAATAATCAACTTCTCCAGCATTTAGGTTATAGAGGCAAGCCAGTCTGTCCATGGATGTCCCATTTCCGGTCAACATTCTTTGGGTTTCTTCCTTTGTGTTTGAGTAAGGAGGTTGCATCTCTACACTGCCTATCACACCTTCACAGTCAGTCAGTTACTTAGTTTTGCCCCTGTAATGTGAAGAACACAAAAATTAATCTCCTGCTGATGGAAGCAGCAGCAGGAACAGTTGCACAAGTGCATTGGACTTATTCCACAGCCACCAATGTATACACAACTTCAACCTCCAAAGTGGTGGTCATGTGCCGTTTTGATTAGAGGCCTGTTTTGATGTCGCAAAGGCCAGTTTAGTTACTTTAACCACATGACATTGAAAATACTTTGTGTCTCGCTTGCTAAGTTGAGAGATAGTGGGACTCAACTGTGGCTGAAAAGAAAGAGGAATGCTGAGCTGTGGAGGCTGCCAGTGGGTGACTTGAAGCAGAGCACAGGATGAGGGTGAGTGGGGAAAAACAGGGTGTGTTGTGTTAGTATCTGGTACCAATTCAAATTGAGACCTCTACTAAACGATCAGTCTAGATTGTGCTCAAATCCACAACCTGACTGAAAGATGTGTGTATTACCAATGAGGCACTTGTTCATAAACAGGAGAACGCTATAGAATTTCAGTAATTTAATCTGCTAGACCGAGATGAAAATGGTATGCGGTCTCTTAACCCACATTCTGAGAATCCAGCATCTCTCAAACTGCTTTAGTTGGTCTTTATTTTCCTGCTGCCTTGTAAAAGGAGGTAGTATTCAGAAAATAAACCTAAGTCCAGGCAAGAGTAGAGATTGTATAATTTAATAAAGCAGATTAAAAATTCCTGTTATAAGAGCCAGCTATTCATATTTAAATTATCAAATGACATTTGAGAAAATAAATCTTATCTAGTAAAACTATAGATTGTCCAAAATCATCCAAATCACTTAATAGCTGCCCACAAATTGAGGCAGCAGCAGAGACCTGAGTTACTAGAGCTGATTCTGAGCAGTTGCCATAACCCAGAATTGGACAAGGGAGTCACGGAGAGAGTAGTCCCTCCGGAAAGCAGATAAGGGTGGAGTGATAGTAGCTGTCATGGGCACACTTCTCCTATTTGATTCCGATTCTACAAAATAGAAATGACATACAAGTGACACAGGAGACCATTCAGTGTATGAACTGTTCACGTGTATTCTTGCTCATCGATTGGAGGAATGATGACTTGGTGGGCATCAGTAAATGGATTCTAGAGAGATATCCAGTTTCAGGACTTAACTGAAGAAGTTTCATGACTCTCAAGTAGTTATTTACTGTGCAGTGTTTGATTTCTGGGCTGTCTACATAGCTAGACCATTAGAAAGGCACAGTCTGGTAAAGTGACGTTCTCAAACCCGTTCTCGGATCAAACACCACTGCTCCTCCACCCCCATGCTCCAGAGGGGCTGTCCAGAGAACAGCAACAAGTGCTTCAGTTTATTTCTCACATGTGCAAGGTGCACAACAAGGATGAGAGACCCAAGTATTCAGGAGGAGCTAGTGGAATAGGGGGAAGGTGTTGATGAAAATTCGGTTTCACAGGGGTATGGGTTGCAATCAGGAAAGCTTGTGTGGGATGAGGGAATATGGGGAAAAGAAAAAAACCTGTGTGCTAGTGGAATTACATTTAAATTGATCTGCTCTGATGCACTTGACAAAGTCTTTGAAACAGTTCTGAGAACCAGTAGCAGCAGCAGGGCGATGAATTAAGATTCCACAAAACACAGCTCACAGCCTGAATTGTTGTTCCACATTGCCCGAGGAACCTGTGTTGTGAGGGTAGACAGTGAACAGGACAGTGCCAGTAGGATTGACCCAGAACTCGAGCACCGAGGTCAGGACGTGGATACCCCGGAACTGGAAAGCTGGCAGGATCTGTGTGACGAGGCACTCCTTTTGGCAGGCCTTGCCAGAGTCTAGGCTAAAAACAACGATGGAAAACTTCTGTGGGCCCCCAATCTCAGCCCGATTGATAGTGGCGTATGCAAATCCTCCGTCTGCCAGGGGCCGAGACCACAGCTCAAAGTTACGCAACTGAGGGGACAAAGAAACAATGAAATAGTCGAGAGATAGTAGGAACTGCAGATGCTGGAGAATCTGAGACAACAAGGTGCAAAGCTGGATGAACACAGCAGGCCAAGCAGCATCATAGGAGCAGGAAGGCTGACGTTTCAGGCCTAGACCCTTCATCAGAAATGGGGGAGGGGAAGGGGGTTCTGAAATAAATAGGGAGAGAGGGGGAGGCGGATAGAAGATGGATAGAGAAGAAGATAGTTGAAGAGGAAACAGACAGGTCAAAGAGGCGGGGATGGAGCCAGTAAAGGTGAGTGTAGGTGGGGAGGGAAGGAGGAGATAGGTCAGTCCAGGGAGGACGGACAGGTCAAGGGGGCAGGATGAGGTTAGTAGGTAGGAGATGGGGGTGCGGCTTGAGGTCGTAGGAAGAACAGGTTAGGGAGGCGGGGACGAGCTGGGCTGGTTTTGGGATGCGGTAGGGGGAGGGGAGATTTTGAAGCTTGTGAAATCCACATTGATACCATTGGGCTGTAGGGTTCCCAAACGGAATATGAGTTGCTGTACCTGCAACCTTCGGGTGGCATCGTTGTGGCACTGCAGGAGGCCCAGGATGGACATGTCGTCTGAGGAATGGGAGGGAGAGTTGAAATGGTTCGCGACTGGGAGGTGCAGTTGTTTATTGCGAACCGAGCGTAGGTGTTCTGCAAAGCAGTCCCCAAGCCTCCGCTTGGTTTCCCCGATGTAGAGGAGGCCACAATGGGTACAGCAGATGAAGTATACCACACTAGCAGATGTGCAGGTGAACATCTGCTTGATGTGGAAAGTCTTCTTGGGGCCTGGGATGGGGATGAGGGAGGAGGTGTGGGGGCAGGTGTAGCACTTCCTGCGGCTGCAGGGAAAAGTGCCGGGTGTGGTGGGGCTCGAGGGGAGTGTGGAACGGACAAGGGAGTCACGGAGAGAGTGGTCCCTCCGGAAAGCAGATAAGGGTGGGGAGGGAAAAATGTCTTTGGTGGTAGGGTCGGATTGCAGATGGTGGAAGTGTCAGAGGATGATGCCTTGGATCCGGAGGTTGGTGGGGTGGTACATGAGGACGAGGGGGATTCTTTTCTGGTTGTTACTGTGGGGACGGGGTGTGAGGGATGAATTGCGGGAGACACTGTGGAGGGTGTTCTCGACCACTGGCGGGGGGGGACGTTGCGGTCCTTGAAAAACGAGGACATCTGAGATGTCCTTGCATTCCACTCCCGTAACTGCAAAAATGCCATCCCCTATTCCCAATTCCTTCGCCTCCGCCGCATCTGCTCCCAGGATGAGGCATTCCACTCCCGTACATCTCAGATGTCCTCGTTTTTCAAGGACTGCAACTTCCCCCCCCCCCCGCTGGCCGAGACACCCCCCCCCGTCTCCCCCCCACCCCCATTCCTCCCCCCCCATCCCCGCAATAACAACCAAAAAAAGAATCCCCCTCATCCTCACGTACCACCCCACCAACCTCCGGATCCAACGCATCATCCTCCGACACTTCCACCATCTGCAATCCGACCCTACCACCGAAGACATTTTTCCCTCCCCACCCTTATCTGCTTTCCGGAGGGACCATTCTCTCCGTGACTCCCTTGTCCGCTCCACACTCCCCTCGAGCCCCACCACACCTGGCACTTTTCCCTGCAACCGCAGGAAGTGCTACACCAACCCCACACCTCCTCCCTCACCCCCATCCCAGGCCCCAAGAAGACTTTCCACATCAAGCAGATGTTCACCTGCATATCTGCTAATGTGGTATACTGCATCCGCTGTACCCGTTGTGGCCTCCTCTACATTGGGGAAACCAAGCGCTGGCTTGGGGACCGCTTTGCAGAACACCTACGCTGGGTTCGCAATAATCAACTGCACCTCCCAGTCGCGAACCATTTCAACTCCCCCTCCCATTCCTCAGACGATATGTCCATCCTGGGCCTCCTGCAGTGCCACAACGATGCCACCCGAAGGTTGCAGGAACAGCAACTCATATTCTGCTTGGGAACCCTACAGCCCAATGGTATCAATGTGGATTTCACAAGCTTCAAAATCTCCCCTCCCGCTACCGCATCCCAAAACCGGCCCAGCTCGTCCCCGCCTCCCTAACCTGTTCTTCCTCCCACCTATCCCCTCCTCCCACCTCAAGCCGCACCCCCATCTCCCACTTACTAACCTCATCCCGCCGCCTTGACCTGTCCGTTCTCCCTGGACTGACCTATCTCCTCCCTACCTCCCCACCTACACTCACCTTTACTGGCTCCCTCCCTGTCTCTTTGACCTGTCTGTTTCTTCTCTTCTATCCATCTTCTATCCGCCTCCCCCTCTCTCCCTATTTATTTCAGAACCCCCTTCCCCTCCCCCATTTCTGATGAAGGGTCTAGGCTCGAAACGTCAGCCTTCCTGCTCCTATGATGCTGCTTGGCCTGCTGTGTTCATCCAGCTCTGCACCTTGTTGTCTCAATGAAATAGTCTAAATGCTGAAGTACTTCCCATCTCTGTCTCTCTCTCTCTCACACACACACACACATCGTACTGAGCAGTCATATAGAGACACAGAAGGGGCCCAGAATCTCCAAGTGGTGGCTCAGCTGATGATATTTTAGAAATGAAATTTTGTTTTTACAGAGAGAACTGTTCCATTAGCCAGCCCCTCATCAACTCAGATTATCATTGGGATTTATTTTATCCTAAACACACAGCTTTCATCCACTCACTGTGCAACACAACCATTTCCTTTGGCAGCGATGGCCTCGTGGTATGTTTGCTAAATATCAAGGGCAGATAGTAGAATTTGAATTCAAATGAAAATAAATTGGAATCAAGATTCCAATGGTGACCATGAAACCATTGTCGATCATTGAGGAAAACCCATCTGGTTCACAACTATAGTGAAGGAAACTACTGTCTTTGCCCAGTCTAGCCTATATGTGACTCCAGACCCAAAGCAATGTGGTTGACTCTCTGGTTGATTAGGCACAGGCAATAAATGCCCAGCTAGTGATGCCCACATCCCATGAATGAATAAAAAAAAAATCTCCAGCACTCATGTTCTCCCCTTCCTCTCACATACACCTCACTTCCCTCTTCCAGGCATATGTTTTATAGTGATCCCAAGAGTGGGCCGAATATTGAACCAGGAGTGACTGATCACAGTTGATACTGTCCCTTGATTCAGTTTCCACACACGTCTCAGCACAGCACAAAGTTCAAAGGGGTGGGTATGAGTTACTCACTTTGCTCACTCGCTGGCCCTGAACACCCAGAGGATCCTGGTTGATGGCAATGACATATTGGTTCTGAAGTAAAGCCTTGGAGTCTGCGTCGATGTTCCGCAGATCGTTCGACATCAGGAGTGGAGCTGCCATGATAGCCCAGAGCGCCATCTGGGTCATCTGCTGGTCTCTGCTTAGCCCAAAGTTACCAATCACCAACTGAAACAACAAACACTGGGTGGTCACACCCTAAAACCCAGAGAAATTGTCCACCCGGCAAGAGTTGGCATGGATCCCGAATTTGTCTGCCAACCAAGGAAAGGGGACTGGTCTTACTCAGGGTTGAGTTGGGTATAATGGGTAGAGAAATGAGACAGAGTCCGGATCCTACCCTAATAGCAGGGGTGTGCCTGAACTTGATCCAAACACAAAGATCTGAGTCCCACTCTGATTGAGGGACAAGAGCACAAGGTCAGAATCCATTGAAGTCCTGACTTGCTACCCAGCAACCAGACAGGGTCATGCTGTCAGGAACACACCTACCATATCAGGGTCATTCCAGCCTCCAGGACCTGCTACTGGGGCAATGAGACTCTGATGATTGGCTGTCCAATCTATGATAGTTTTCACAGACCCCCACGAGTCATTGATGTCACCATAGTTTCTCCATTGGTTGCAGTATTTCTTAATATCTGTGTAATTGGGCTGAGAAAACAAAAAAAAAAGAGAATCACTGGTGTAAATTTCCAAGTAAATACAAATTCAGAATCACTCTCATAACAAGCTAATGCCTCCAATGTAAACTGATTTGATGACTCTCGCAGCAGGACCCTCTGTGCACAGTTAGACAAACTTATCCAGACTACAGAGATAGTAGGAACTGCAGACGCTGGAGAATCTGAGATAACAAGGTGTAGAGCTGGATGAACACAGCAGGCCAAGCAGCATCAG